TGCAGGCTCCAGTGGAGCAGTTCCTAGGGACAGGGCAGCAGCTGTGGGATCTCCTTGGAGGCTGCTGGGACATTGCTTTGGCCAACTTCAGTGGCAGAAGGGACCCACATGTAGGACAGGGGAACCTGTCACTGTTCCTTCTGTCCAGGGCAGCCCCTAGAGGTGTTCAGGAGACCAAATGGAGTCAGGTGGCACAGGGAGAGAGGTCTCTCTCCTGTTCTTTCTCAGGGTATTTTCTACAGGTCCTCAGAGTACAATGGCCATTGTCTCCTGGACATCCCTTCACTGCTGAACCTACTTCAGGGCAGCTGAGCCTGGATTGAACAGCCAAAGAGGGGCCTGTAGTGCCAGGGGAGGTGCCAGGGCTCTGCAGCACAAGTGCAGCAGCTGCCCTGGACAGCACAGGGCCTGTGCAGGGACCCCGTCCCCATTCCCAGCAGTTGTGGGACAGGCACCACCCAGGGCTTCTCAGACACATTGGGGGCCTTTGGGGCAGGGAGTGAATCCCAGCCCTGCAGGGCCACAAAGGCTGTCCCTTCTCTGCCCAGCCAAGGCCGGGCCAGGCACGAGTCCAAATCCCATCAGCCCAGGCTGTCCACACTTGTTCCCTCCCTCTGCTGGCTCTGCTCTCCCCCAGCATTTCAGCAGCATGTGCTGATCTCCTCAGGGATCAGGCCTGTGATTTTCCCCCTGGGCCTGAGTCCCAGCATGTCCACCCCCAAGGCCATTGTCAGCAAAGCCTCTGCCCACCCCAGCTCTCGGGGCTTTCAGAGCAGCTTTCCCCTCTGCAAGTCTGTTCTTACCCCGGTGCCCCCGCTGAGGGGCTGCAGCCAGACAGGCCCCAATGCCCTGCGTGTGGGGAACAGGCAGGAGGAGCTGCAGCCCCAAGTCTCTCTTCATTCCACTTGCAGGCAATAACAGCCCAGGCCTGCTGAGACAGCTCCCAGGTTGCAGGGCTGTGATGGGTTGGGAGAGAAGGCCAAGGAGACACAGGAGAGAAGGAGCAGGAGAGAGGTGTCCTCAGCAGGAAGGAGCTTCTGGGACCTGTGGAGCTGCTCTAGGGGATGAACAAACTGGGTGAACTTTTGTGGGTGGGGGTGAGAGGAGAGAGTGGTTTGGGTGACATTGTGGAGTGAGACAAAGAGCCCATTCCAGTTGGCTTTGATAACCCTGGAATTCACTGGAAAGGCAGCACGAGAGGATGGAAAGAGTCCCAGAGGTTTGTGCAGGGTCTTGGTGAAGACAGCCCTTGGGCCACAGGCCTTTAGAGCACAGCTGCCAGGCTGGTGGACAACAGGGAGGCTCATCTGCATCTGCTTCTGTCCAAGGGGAACCAAGAGGTTCCCATAGTAAGTGACTGTAGTGATGGGAATGTACGATGGTTGCCATGGTAAGTGACTGTAGCAACGCGTCTGTTGATTGTTGCCATGGTAACTGACCATAGCAATGGGAATGTATGATGGTTGCTATAGTAACCGACTGTAGCGATAGGAATGTGTGATGGTTGCCATGGTAACTGACCGTTGCAATGGGAATGTGTGGTGGTTGCCATGGTAACCTCCCATAGCAATGGGAATGTATGATGGTTGCCATGGTAACTGACTGTAGAAACGGGAATGCATGGTGCTTGACATGGTAACCGACTGCACCAGTGGGAGGTATGGTGATTGCCATGGTAACCGACCATAGCAGTGGGATGGTTGCCATGGTAGCTAGCTGTAGCAATTTGAATCTATGCTGGTTGCCGTAGTAACTGACCGTAGAAACCGGAATGTATGGTGGTTGCCATAGTAACCGAGTGTACCAGTGGGAGGTATGGTGGTTGCCATAGTAACCGAGTGTACCAGTGGGAGGTATGGTGGTTGCCATAGTAACCGAGTGTACCAGTGGGAGGTATGCTTGTTGCCACGGTAACCGACCGTTCCAACACAACTGTATGATGGTTGCCATGGTAACTGACCGTAGCAATGGGAATGAATGATGGCTCCATGGTAACCGACCATAGCAATGGGAATGTATGATGGTTGCCATGGTAACTGACCATAGCAATGGGAATGTATGATGGTTGCCATGGTAACTGACCGCAGCCACGAGAATGTATGGTTGTTGCAATGGTAACTGACTGTAGCAACAGGACCGTAAAGATGGTTGCCATGGTAACCGACCATAGCAACGTGACTATATGCTGGTTGCCATGGTAACTGACCATAGCATTGGGAATGTATTATGGTTGCCATGGTAACCAACCATAGCATTGGGAATGTCTTATGGTTGCCATGGTAACCAACCATAGCAATAAGAATGTATGATGGTTTCCATGGTAAATGACGATAGCAATGGAAATGTATGGTGGTTGGCATGGTAACCGACTGTATCAGTGGGAAGTATGATGGGAGGGGGTGGGAAAGCAGGAGGGGTGTGTGCAGCCTGCAAGGCCAGAGCAGCAGCAGGGCCAGGGCAGGACAGCCTGCAGGAGAGATGGCCAAGGGCTCTGGCAGGGCTGCAAGGCCCAAAGGCACCCAGGCCTTTGTCCCCTTGCCTCTGGCAGCTGCCTCTGCCACTCAGGCCACCACAAGCCACTTTCCTGGCAGGTTCTGCCCTTGGGTTCTGCCTCGCCCCTCCCTCAGCAGCCTGGCAGGGGTTGCCCAGTTTTGGCCTTTGTTGTTCCTCCCCCTCCCATCCCAGTGCCCCCCAAACAGCCCTGAGCCAGCCGGGAGGGACAGGATCTGCTGGGCCAGGGCCTGGGGCTCAGCCCTTGGCCTTTGTGCTCCACAAAACCAAGGCAGGCTTTGCTCAGCATTGCAGGGGCCTGCCCAGAGCCTTTGTCTGCCTGCACTCCTGGCCTCCAAGGAGCTGCTCCAAGGAGGCCCTGGGGAGGCTTTGGCAGTGCCTGCCCTCAGTGGGGCCCAGCAATGCTTCAAGGCACTTGGAGTTTGGCTTCTGACTTCTTCAGCAGCTGCTTCAATCTTCTCTCACTACCTCAGGATCATGGGCTGGGCTGCAAACACACCCTGGGGCTCATTAAAATCCTGAAATCCCTCAGGATCTCTTTGTCTTCCTTTAATTGTCTTCAAGGCAATTTCAAAACAAGTCTTCAAAGTTTGTACTTTTTTTGTTTTAATTCAATTATGGATATTTTGTAGTTCAGAGAAGAGGTGATAGAGGTGTTCTCCAAGTGATCTTGATGCTGAGTGTCTCCTTAGGAGATCCACACTGACCCTGGATGATCAACCTCACTCCTCATCCCCCAACCTCACCAGTTCTGACATGGCCCATCTTGGACTGACAGCTGATGCAGCTCCAAACACACTGTGGAATCCATACTCTCCCTTACCCTTATCCTGCCTTTCCCTTATGCATTTTCCCTAAAGGTTCTCTTTATGCCATGTTGCTGTAGATGAGAGATAGAGATGATAACACCCAAAATGGCAACATACCTGTTTACCTTTGAAACAACATTGTTCTAAAATAAACCCTACATATATATGTTTTCAAACACTGATTATTCAGTGTCGTTTCACTCTAATCCACCCCAAGGGATTTATTAATAAGAACCTGGTTACCCCCCCCTTTCTGGAGAGGGTGGTAGCAGACCCCTTGTAGCAGGAAAAGAATCTGATGGGAGAATGCAAGCACTGCCAGCTCTCTGTGGGGAGTTACTGCTGGTGCCAAGGGCTTGGTTTAGTGTTGAATTGTGCCCAACCCAGCCTGGTTCCCCAACCTTCCAACACACATCCTGCTTTTGGAAGCAGAGTTTGACAGGTCAGCTGCTCACTGGCCTGGGAATATGTGACTGCTGATCCATCCCTGGATAAGCATAAAAGCCCAGGGCCAACTTTGACAGAGCAGATTCTTCCACAGACTTTGTTGAAGTGTGTGCAGCTTCTGCTGGGAAGCAGGGACAGCTCTTGATGGTCACTGCCCAGGGGGGAAAAGAAAGAGAGAGCTCTGCCTTGATTTATTTCTATCAGACCCCGCCGGGCCCTCCCCGCTTCCTGCCGGGATCGGACACCGCCGGCGGCCCCGGCCCTGCCGGGCTCCATCAGCCTGAGGAATTGCTCCGGAGGAGGGGCCGGGGCTTCCTCTTGGCCTTCGTCTCCCTGGCGCTGGGGCTCGGCTTCTACCTGCGCCAGAAGGTGAGGGGGGTCCCAGGGGGTCGTGTGTCCCCCCCCCAGAGCGTCTGTGCCCCCCCGGGGACCCCCCACCCCGGTGTCCCCCCCTTTTCTCTCCCCACAGAGCTCCTGAGCCGGCGGCGGCCGCAGCCCCTCCCCGGGGCCTCGGGCCCAGCCTGGACCCCCCCATCCCCGTGAGGATTTTGGGGGGGTCGTGTGTCCCCCCTGTCCCTGCTGTCACTCTGCCTCCAGCCGGCTGCTCCCAGTGATCCCAGGAAAGCTTCCAGTTCTCCCCAGTCCCGGTTATTAATATTTATATATATTAATATATGTTTTTATATATTTTAATATAATATATTGATATATGGTATATATCAATAATATATACTAATATATTAATTATATATTTATATATAATGTATTGATATATAATATATATCAATAATATATAGATATATAAAATATATATAAAATAAATATTCAAATATATAAAGAATATATACATTTATATATATGTTTTTATATATCAATATATAAATATATTGATATATAATATATATCAATAACATATGTAAGTATATAAAATGTATATAAAATGTATATAAAATGTATATAAAATGTATATAAAATGTATATAAAATAAATAAAACATTTAAATACATAAATGATGTATAGAAATTAATACATAAATATGTCTTTATGTATTTATATATATTGATATATAATTTATATCAATAATATATATACAAATGTATAATATGTGTATATAAATAAATAAATAAATAAATAAATAAATAAATAAATTACATAAAAGTATATTGAGATAAATAAATTATTGATATAATATTTCAGATCCACACTTGTAAGGAACAGAAACCCAGAGCCGGGTGGTTTCCAACCAGAATTTATTATCTGAGAAAAGCAAATTCAGCACTGGGGGATCAGGGAGGGGTTTGAACAACCCCCAAAGGAGACACTTGTTCTATTTTATTCTCTATATAAATATATATATTCATTACACATTGTCAAGTCAGACATTGTGTAGATAACAAGCAAACATCTGCTCAAAGTTATCAATTTTTCAGAAAGGTGTCATTATCTATAACTAAACCAAGTCCCTTCACTATGAACCTTAGACAAGGTAAAAGGGAGGTAACTTGGTTTATGTCTTTACAGGGGCCCAATTAAGTTTTACGATTTCTTTTTCTTTTCTCTCTCCGAGTTGTGTTGACTTTAGGTTGTTTTCTTTTTAATTAGCTCGAATCATTCTCCCTTTTACCTTGTCTAAAATTTATAGTGAAAGGACACCCAGTCCCTCCCAGTCCCTCCCAGTGGCTCCTGGCACTGGCTGCATTAACCAGTCCCGTTGGCTGGCGGGACTGGTTTCGCCTTCGGGGTGTTCTCTGCACAGGAGCAGTTCCCAGGGCTGATGGTCTCTGGGTGGTGTGGAGGTTGCTGGTCTGTGGTGCTGCAGATCCAGGAGGCCATATGTTAGTTTTACGACCACTAATTCATACTAATAAAGGCTGGAGAACAGAGCATGTGAAAAAGCATCATTTTTGCTCCATTCCAATGGGAAAGAATAAAGCTCTCTGGATCATCTTTTTGTTCCTCTAGTATTTTCCATATTTAAATCCCTTCCACTGAACCTAGAGATGGCTAAACATCAACACCCCTCCCTGTCACTTCCCTGCTGTTCCATCTGCCTCTTCCCCCGTGAACGTTCAAGAACAGGCATGGAGGGAAAGCACAGCCCTCTAGGCCCAGCTGCAGGGCCTGGCAGCACCACGCCGTGCCAAGGTGTGACCAGCTCCAGGCTGCCTGCCCCCAGCCCAGAGCCGACCTCACAGCACGGGCTGGGCTATAACCAGCGTGCAACAAACGCCCTGGCTTTAGAGAGAACGTTCCTCCAACTCACCTTGCTCTCCTCAGGGGTGAAAAGGATGTTTATAGTACAAAATGAGCCCGGTGGGATCTGATGGCACACACCATTGGGGCCGACCAACTTGAAATAAGGTGAGCTGTCCATGGTGACCTTCACCAGCCGAGTAACCTGCAGGACACTTATCAGGAGAGAGTGGCAGGGACTGCCTGTCAAAAAATGGAGTAACTCCCCCGGCAGAACTCGTGGGCCCAGAGCCCATTTATCTGGAGTTTTTCTGCACAAGATGTCCGGGTCAGCCTCTGATTACTGACACAGCAGGCATGCTGGAGGGAGAGAGACAGTGGCCCCAGGCATGGCACCTGTGCTGCCCACCCTGACAGCCCCTCTGCCAGGCTGCGGGAGGGGCACTTTGCTCTCACCTGGCTCCCTCCCTTTGGGGGCCTCCTCCTCTCTGTCTGACGTGGGACACGTCAGTGGTGGGTCCCTGTCTCACCGTCCCACCGGTGAGTGGAGCTCCCAGCACTGGGTGCTCTAACACAGCTCCTGTCACGGTGACTTCTGAATGTTCTGGATGAGTTCCGGGTCCGACGCTGCTGGCGGGAGTGGTGTTGTCTTTGGGGAGTCCTGGCTGCTGTTTCCCTTTGGTTTCGCCTCCCAGCACTCGGTGCTGGCGTGCAGTTCCTGTCATGGGGACTTCTGCACCGGCCGGATGGATTTGGGGTCTGACGTTGCAGGCGGGAGCGATTTCCCCTGCGGGATGTCCTTGAGTGTCTCTGCCTGGGCCTGCGCCTCCCAGGACTTGGTGCTGGCACATGGCTCCTGTCCTGGGGACTTCAGGACCGAAGGTGTGGAATTTGGGCCCAACGTTGCTGGCGGGAGTGGTTTTGCCGTCGGTCAGGCCCCCGACTGCTGGAGCAGCTGCTGTCCTCAGTTTCTGGGAAGCTGCTGTGGGATGACCCCGATGTTACTTGCTTGTCAGAGCTGGAGCTGCTCGTCTCCTGTGAGGGAGATTGTAGAGACTGCTCCGATGTTGCCTATCGGGTGGTGTGGAGGTTGCTGGTCTGTGGTGCTGCAGATCCAGGAGATGGCAGCTGGGCGCTGGGGCTGGGGCTGACGGTCTCCAGTGCTGGAGAACTGGGAGACAGCCCTGATAGCGCCAGGCTGCCTGTGTTGGGGCTGATGGTCTCAGGTTCCCTGGAGCTGTCAGAAGGCTCCAGTCCTGACTGTCTGGCCACGCTGACACCAGCAAGCCCTGAGTCATCTCAGGAGGCTGTGAGGGGAAGCAGGAGGGACAAGATCGTTCCAGACCTGGGACAAGATAGGCCAGAGCAGTGCGGCTCTGCCAAACCCGCCCTGGGCACCCACTGCCAGGCCCAGGGGCACCAGGCCCAGGGGCACCAGGTTTGTTTGCCTCTTACCTGTGCCCAGACCAGCACAGCCATCACATTCCCAGCTGGTTATGCTGTCCCTCAGGCCAGAGCAGTGTCTGTGGGTGCCCTCGGCAGCACAGGAGGAGCACCAGAGCAATTCCCAGGGCCGGGGGAAGCAAACGGGTTCAGGGAGGTGAGGACAAAGTGTCCAAAGCGTGGGATTATCTGGCTGAGCTCTTCTCCTGGGTCCTTCTGCTTCACAGCCAGAGTGAGGCCCTGGTGCTGCTGAGCCCCTGCTGTGCCCCCCGGGGTGACAGAACCACTCCTACTTGGATGCAGTCCCTGTGGAACCAGGCGGTTCTGCAGGCTGGCCCAAATCTCCCTGCTCTTGTCAGGCTCTCACCTTCTGTGCTGCCTGGGAGACTATATCTGGGATCTCCCTTGGGAGAAAGCCAAGGAGTCCTACTCGATCGTTCTCTTGCTGACGAAGGAGGCTGGCAAAAACCTGCAGGAAAGATGATGCACTGCTGAGGAGAGAGGGTGGTGGGAACTGCCCATTGGAAAGCTGGAGAGAGCCCACGGAGCAACTCACCAGGCAGAACACGTGGGCACAGAAACCATTTATCTGAAGGTTTTCTCCACAGATGTCCGGGTCAGCCTCTGATCGCTGGCACAGCAGGCATGCTGGAGGGAGAGAGACACCAAAGCAAGAGGTGGCTCTTTCAGTGGGACAATGGAAAATGGCAAGCTCGTGCCCTTGTGTCCTGCCCCAGCCTTCCCCCGCTATTGTGCCTTCGCCATGGTAGCTAAACTCCAGCAAACCCCACCAGCGTCAGCAGAAATTATTTGTGTTGGCTTAGCACAGATCAGGACTCCAGCATCTCACTAGGAGAACACGTTTTGCCTTTGCCCCAGCAGAAGGAACTCCACCACCACCAGCAGTTTGCAACGACAACAGGACCCGCACACTGAGGGGTTTCAATGAGCTGGAGGCAAGGCACGCAGCCTCTTCAAGTGTCACATCAAACAGCAAGGAAAAGGGCAGGAAAAGGCTACCTTGGAACTGGAGTTCTCACTCGTGCCTGGGGGCCGGACAGTCTTGGGCAGCTTTGTCTCCTGAGGGTTGTCCGGCTTCTTCCTGAGCCTGAGACCAACCTCCCTGAAGTCAAAGATGGTCAGCTGGAAGGCAAAAAAACCAGCAAGAGCCTCAGAAATGCCCTTGTTTAGAAAGGCTTTTCTTGTTCAAGTGGCTCTGATGAGTCATTTGTGATCACAGCCACCAGGACAGTCCTGGAAGTCCTGGACCTGCTGAAGTATTAAACATCAGAAAATTAATGGTATAGAGCAGAACACACTTGCTCTAACCAGGCAGCCTGGGTAAACTCAAATTTAGACAGAAGTAGCACAGAAACATGACAGTATTTGAAGACAGTCTACCTGCATCTGCAAAAAAAAAAAAGCTTTCTAAAAGTCCAGATACTTTACAAAATGTATCCCCTCCACATAAAAAATCAGATTTCTTTTCTTACCATCTGCACAGTAGCAAAAAGGCAAATTTCAAGATAAAAAAATAACAAGGAAATGAACATACTACCACAAGTTACAGCCACTCCTACCTGAGAAAATAACTCATGAACGTTTCCTCTGAAGCCACTCAGACAATAAGGAATTGTTCATGGCATTCTACCTGGAAAAAAAAAAAAGGATGGAAATTTTCAACATTTTGCTTTAGAAAAGCAGAACAAGTCACATGCCTGAAATGTATTGATCTTTAGGTAATTATTAAGTCAAGAAAACTTATGAGAGCAGTAACTGTATCTTTACAATTCTAAAAATAAAAGGACATTCTTGGCTGAAATAAAACACTGGAGATGACAGTGACTGACACACAACACACACGACCTGTGCTTCTCATGACTAACTGCAATCTGCTCTTCTGTCTTCCATTACTTTAATTTTGAAAGACTTAGAGATCAAATGCAAACTTAACCTTTTTTATTGAGTAACTTATCACCCAATACCCCTCACCCCTTGTGCTTTTTTTTCCACATTAAAGTCTTTAGAACCAGGCTATGCAAAATTAAATAAAACCTTTAGGGACAGCAAAGTTATTTCAAAATGGCTTCTGTCATCAGCTTCTCTGAATTGTAAGTCCTACCTTGCTTGATCTTCCCCAAAAATGCATCTTTTTGCCCTTTAGAAAACAGTTTTAAAGCTTTCAGCTTCTTTAACCTTTCGTCAGATCCCAAACCAGGGTCTTTAACAAAAGGAACACTATATTTGCACTACCTCCAGCCAACTTTTCTTGCCTTTTGTGAAGGCAAAAATGGTATTTTATTTTACAGCAGTTATATTTATCATCCCCACTACTTCATACTTAAGAAGAAGACTGGAATCATTGGGTAAAAACACAATTTTAAAAAACATTCCTTGCTAAATTAAAAGGTATCCAAATATAAATTCCAATTCCTACACCTTGAATATAAAAAAGCAGAACTGTTAAACAAAACACACTACGAATTAAGAGGAATTAATTTTTTGAGACAATTACTTGCTATTTTATTTTCAGTTGTTTAAAGAAACCACTCAAAGCTATCGAAAAAAAAAATCCCATAACATCTTTAAGAAAAGAGAAATCCAGCAGACACCCACCTACAGCCAGAACTTCCTTTAGGGCACAGTGTGTATGCCAGAACCTGTTCTATACTGCAGAACTGTGGCTGGGTTAGAAAACCACCATAATCCAAATCTAAAATAAAGACACGGAACATTTTGCATAAAGGTGGAGAAGTCCAGCAGTTGCTAAAACCTGTATTTCTATTTCCAAAAAAGGGCAAACTTATATTGTTGTAATGACAGATTCACATTTGCAGAGGAAGTATTGAATAATCCAGATTTACCTCCAACTGCAATGTTTAAAACCTGCACGGAGTTTTATAACCTTGCTCAAGTGTACACCATAGAAATCCAACAAATATGGCTAAACACAGCCTCCAACTAAAACTAAAGCTCTTAATATTTACCTCTTCCTCTATCACAGTGACTTTTTGTGATATATAAATAACCGTGATTCGTGAAACAAATGGGTGGTTACATCAAAATAAAACAAACGGATTGTAAAACTTAATTACACCCCCATAAAGAAATAAAACAGACCCTCACAAGGTCAAGAGGCCTAAAACCTCCTTACTATCCTAAGAATAAAATATAGTAGAACTTTAAATCTTTAGGCGCCTGTTTGTCCAAGAATGCAGGAATTATGACTGGTTGTAGAGATAACCCTTTAGCTTTAGCTGTAAGAAAACCCATCTATTAAATACTTAGCAAAAACCTGTAGAATGTATATGCATATGATATAATTAATATGCATGAAGTAGCTAAGATAAATACTAAATGTACCCTGTAGTAGGGGGGTGCAGATTTGGGAAACTGGTCCCATTTCTGTCACCCAGCCGGCTGCTGCTTTTACCATATAATAAACTATTATTCGAAACTTATAGAAACTCGAGACTTTTCATACATTCAGAATTCCAATTTTGCCCTTACAGTGGTAATTGCTGAATGCCAGCTAACACATAACAAACGTCAGGCATTCCACTTAAACTTGCATTTTTAGAAAGTCTTGCAAAAGGTCTTCTACAACTTCTAAAATTATTAGGCACCGAAAAGAAGATAAAAAATGCTCCAGAAAGAGAAATGACTGTGAGGTCTCTGAAAAACGCATGAACTGAACACTAAAACCAAACCTGACACCCCAGAAACGTTTTTAAAAGCTTTCCACGTAACACACAAACTCATCCGTTTCCTTATCCTGTAACTCATATTTAAGTAACTACCTTTGCTTCCCAGAGTGCCCCCCCTGTGCCCGGGGCCGCACCGGGGACCCAAAACCCGCCGCTGCCCCCTCGGTGCTGCATCGGGGCCGGGCCGGGCGGCCCCCGCGGGTGCTGCAGGGCCGGGACGGCAGCGCCGCAGCCGCCGAGGGGCACCGGGGCTCCCCCGGTCCCGCCGCTCCCCCTCACCCCCCACGGGCAGGACACGGCCGGGGGTCCCCGACAGTTCCCGCGGGTCCCCTCAGCGAGCGGCGAGGGGTGGCAGGGGGGGCCGGCAGAGGCAGCGCCCCCTTCCCCTCCCGGCTCCGAGGACATTTTGTTTTCCCTCCCCAGGACAAAGGACAAGGAGGAGCGCGGAGACCCCGGCACTCACCTGGCGAAGAGCAGCCCGCTGGCCGGCACCGGGGGCCCCGAGGACGGGGCGCTGCTCCGATGCTCGCCCTTCCCGCGGCCAAGGGCGGCCCCGCGCCCGCCCGGCGAGGGAGCGGCGCGGGCAGCGCTCGCAGTCCCGGCGCCATTGCTGCCCGCCCGTCCCAGCCCCTCTCGGCAGCACCGCTCGCCCCCAGGGTGCCGGGCCCGACTCGGCCCTCGAGCGCTGCACCCGGGGATCCGGCCGGGTGTCCCCCGAGCGAGCGGCGGGGAGCGCGCCCGGGAGCCGTGCGGGAGCTGCCGCTGCTCCCCGGCCATCCTGTGCCGTGTGTGTGAGGGAGCCGCCGCCATCTCGGCTCCTTCCTCCCCGCCCCCCGCACAACATGGCCGCCCGCTCGCTCCTCCCGTTGGCCTCGGAAACGGGATGAATTCACTCCACTCGAACGAGATGAATCGCAGCTACTCCAGAAGGAAAAGAAAAACAGCCCAGGCCTTCAAAGCCACAAGTATAGAACGGAGATTTTTATACAAACATGTATTTTTTTAATTTTTATAGACAGTCTGACAAAGCCCTGAATCCCCCCGTTGTAATGCACCATATATATAAAAGACCCCTTATATTACTAACTCAAAACAAACTTCTTCATATTTATCAATACTCGTTTGATATGGGGTCCAATCAATTTTTGCTGTAATGATTCACCACACGCTTGGATTAGAATGTCACCTGAACAGAAATAGCTCCTGAGTCAGGCTCATGTTTCCTATGAGCTTTTATATTTTCTGCCTGCAGTCAATTCACTACAAACTGGCTCCTGACAGAGCTTTACCCAGCTGGGAGAGCTCATCAGCCCAGGGACTAGAGCAGCTCTGGACACGCTGGCCTCCTAAACTCCAGAATCAGCAGCTTTAAGCGTTGCAGGAAAGAGATTTACATGCTGAAACAAATACTCTCTCTC